GGCCACAGGTTGCCGACCCCTGTTATATGATGTCTTGCCTCCGTCTTAACTGATGAATAATTTTTCAGTGGAACAAAGTAATCTTCAGCTCCCACACACACACAGATGTAAAAAATCTTAAGAGCTGGCTTTCCATCCATGAGAAGACTTTAGTCCTGCAATCCTTTCTATTCACTAGTTAACCATTGGGGTGATAGATGAAAAGCAAGGGTCTTGCAGCCATTAAAAAATCCCTTGGGACCCTAGAAAACCTGCACTCATGGCAGGAAAAGAATTAGAAAGATATTAATCATTACGTGGAGGACCCTGAATTGCCTTTGTGGAATGGAGATTTATTTGTCCTTCAGTGTGGCACATTTCTATTACATAAAGGCTGGGGATAATGTGTTGAATGACTTAGGGCTGGGGAGCATGTAGAGATGAAAGAGAGAATTCCTGAAAGTTGGACAGAGGCACCTACTGTAAGAGAAGCTATACTCCCAGATTGTATCTCTCCCTGATTTTGGAATATCCCTGCTTCCTCAACCCACATACACACTAGGAGAGTGCAGGGGGTGCGGACCACATCAGGTGACAACCTAAGAAGGGTGACACCATTGCTCCTCAAACATTTGCCTTTGGGCAGAAACATATTGTGGTGTTCACCTGTGTCCCATTAAAATGCTGAAGGGATGGCATGAGTGGGGTGAGGCTCAGTGAGAGGAGAGAGGAGAGGCCCCAGGGATTTTAAAATTAAAATTTCAAATTTCAAAAATTGTTTTGAATAATTTCAAAATTTGAAATTGAAATTTTATTTTTAAAACATTATTTAAAAATATCACATTTTACCAAGTTTACACTTTAAGCACATGAAATTATGTATATGTAAATTATGTTTAGGCTGTGCACATGATATTGTAATTTAAAAGTATAATTTTAATTGTGCTAGTTGTTTATGTCACAACTATTACCATAACATTTAGTAATATATGGGAATTATGATTTATGAGTAACATAAATACAAAAAAACATTACTAAGGATTCTGTATGATGTGGAGGTCAATGGGTGTGTGTGACACCATAAGTTACTGCACTGGGTGACACCAACCCTAGGGATGCCACTGGACCATGCAGTAAGATTCAGTCCTCCAAATCTCCCACAGCATATTATTTCTAATTGTTCCCATCTCTCTCTACCTAATTTCTTGTTGGAGTGAATTGCCTTAAGCACAGTCTTATGAAAAACAAGATGTTCATTTGTTGAGATGTTCAGATTTTCTGGTGACTTAGTCCCACTTTATGGAGAGCTTCCCACAATCTTGGCGGCTGTTGATGGCCATGAACCAAAGATGCATGGTACTGGGCCTGATGCTTAGGGAAAAAATTGATATCATCCAGTCTCAGCAGTACTTTGTTTCTGGGTTTCTTTTCTTTTCTTTTATTGTCTTTTTGAGGTACAAGCTGGCTGTCACCAAGCGAAAGGAGAACGAACCCTTCAGTACCAGCATCTATAACCAGAATGACCCATGGACACCTTCAGTTGCCTTTGCTGATTTCATAGACAATGAAACCATTGTTGATGAGGTGAGTGATTATCATTCCAGGGGGCTGGTGATCTTTACCTGATATCATCCCAAACTCACAGAAGGATTGGGTAAGTAAGGTATGTGGTGGGACCTTACATGGAACAATAGACAATGCTAGACTCATCTGCTTTTCCCACTCTTTCTACATACCATTTGTTGGTATTAGCTTGGCATATGGAATGTAGTCAAGAAAGTGTGGAAACACACAATGAGATAAACGAAAGATCACTACATAGTTATAGCACTATGAGTTCACTTTAACTGCCATTGCTGTATCTTATGAAAT